CCTCCTCTTTTCGCTGAGGAAGACTGGCCCTGAGCTGACATCCATGCCCATCTTCCTCTACTTTATATGTGGGACGCCTACCACAGCATGGCGTGCCAAGCGGTGCCATGTCTGCAGCTGGGATCTGAACTAGTGAACCCTGGGCCACCAAAGCAGCACATGCGCACTTAACCACTGTGCCACCAGGCCGGCCCTGCAATATTTTTTACAAATAATAAATATTTGTTGAACAAATGAATCTCTGAGCACCCTCCCCCGCTCACTAAGGGAACTGAGAAACAAATTGATTTCAGTAATGCAATGTATCAAATGACAATAAATGCATGATAGATAAACACATCATGGCTAGAAGAGATTCTTTCCCATTAACCAAGGAAAGGTTTGAATGGAGACAAAGCTAGATTTGGTTTGTTATCTTCCTTTTTGAAGAGATCTTAATTATTGACTCTGCGAACAAGACAATTTCCTTGAAAAATGTTCTATTAAGGGGAATGGTGCCTCAGGGAATCCTCACATCGTAATATAATGCCTCTATGAAAGTTACTGCTACTCTTTGAGACAGGACCACAGACTCCAAATCCTCTCTGGCTTTGGGGAAAGGTAGCTGGAAGATGAATGGATGTCCTTGAGCCAACCTAGAGTGATTACTAATTTCTTCCCGGATTCAGCATGAGTTCATGAATGCCTTTATAGCAGGCACTGTTCTAGGCTCTGGGGACACAGTGATCCAAACAGACGAAAATCCCTCCCTCATGGAGTTGATGTTCTAGTGAGGGGAGACAGATGATAAATAAGAAACTATACAGTATGCTAGATGGTGGGACACTCCAGGAAGAAAAAGAAAGTCAGGAATAGGGGTAGGGAGTATAAAGCTTACAATTTTAGGTAGGGAGACAGAAAATGCCTCACGGAAATGTGACATTTGCATAAAGAACTGAAGGAGGTAAGGGAGTGACTCGTATGGCTATCTAAGGTAAGAAAGTTCCGGTATTAAGGACACAGCAAGGAGTCCAGTGTGACAGGAGTAGAGTGAATGATTGGGAGAGAAATTGGAGATGAGGTCACAGATTTGGGGGACCTGTGGATAGGTCACATGGAGCCAGAAGTAGGCCATTGTGAAGACTTTGGTTTTTACTCTGGGTGAGGTGAAAAGTCAATGGAGGGCTATGAGCAGAAGAGTGACATGGTTCTGACTTACATTTTAGAATGATCACGTTTGTGCTGAACGTGAATGAATGAAAACGGGGGCAAAAAAGAAAATAGAACTAGTAGGCCTTTACTTAACCTGGGAACCAAGAAACAACACTAGAAACGACCTCTTAAACAGAAGTGTACCTCCTGATTCACTTTCTCACTGAATTAAAGACACGAAGACCCATTTAAGGTGCCTGTATTGCTTGCTGCAGATCTCTCCTTGCGCTTACATCTCTCCAAGGGGGGCAAGGAAGACATTTGAGCTCCTGACAGAAAAGCAGCTGGTTGCTGGTGAGACTGGGGGAGGACCTGAAGCAGCTCCTTTGTCACTAGAAACCCGACCCTTTTCCGTTTAGTCAGACAATGGCAGCCTTGGCTGGGGAACGTTAGGGAAACCTGCCAAGTTTGCAGTCGGCCTCTCTCAGCCTAGACAACCTTTGAGAGATGAGGGTATCTTTTGAATTTGCAGAAATGAGACAGAGCACAAGGGAGAACTAACATTTCTCATTAGTATAACATGCAGACTGTGTCAAAATGCGTTGCTGAATCTATTTTGTTCTAACCGTGAGAAAGCAAGACTTATCCACAAACAGAAGGGAACATATAATTGTGGGGTTTAGAGTTTAGGGAGCTCCAAAACGACTCCTCTAGATAAATTTATCTCTGCTAATCATTGTTTACCTCTGCTGTATTCTTTTATTTTTAATTTTGCTCAGAAGGGAAATGAATTTGTTCCTGGCCATAAAAAATAATACATGTACATGGTTAAAAATTCAAGCTATACAAAAGGGTAAACAATGTTAAACAATATAGACACTAAAGTCTCAATAATATAAACATGTAAAGTCTTCCTAAATTTATCTACATATTTGATACTATCCCAATAAAAATGCTATCAGAATTTTTTTTAAACTAGACAAGGCAATGTTAAAGGAAACGCTGAAAAGTGTGCAAAAATAGTGATGAAAATTCTGAAAAGGAAAAATAACAGGGTAAGATTGGCTCTAGAAGACTAAAATATATTATAAAATTACCTTAATTAAAAGTTTGGCAGTGGCACAAGTATAGACAGATTAGTGGTATACAATAGTATCCAGAAATGGACCCCAATATACAAGGGAATTGAGTATAAGCTAAAGGTAGAATTTCAAGATTGGGGGGGAAGATTACTAATAAGTGGAGTTGGAACATGTAGCTTACTATCTAGAAAAAACATAATTGGATCCCTACCTCATTCCTTACACCAAAACAAATTCCGGACAGATCAAATATTTAGATGTTAAAAATAAGACAGTAAAAGTACTTGAAGAAAACATGGGAGAATTTTAAAAAATAATCTTGGGTGATATTATGGTGTGAATTGTGTTCCCTCAAAATACATATATTGAAGTCCTAACCCCAGTACTTGGAATGTGACCATTTGGGGAGATAGGGTCTTTGGAAAGGTAATTAAGTTAAAATGAGGTCATAGCAGTGGGCCCTAATCTAATATGACTGTGTCTTTATAAGAAGATGAGATGAGGACACAGTCAAACACAGAGAGAAGACATGTGAAGACACGGGGAGAAGATAACCATCTACAAGTCAAGGAGAGAGGCCTCAGAAGAAACTAACCCTGCTGACACCTTGATCTTGGACTTCTGGCCTCCAGAACTGAGAAAATAAATTTCTATTGTTTATGTCCTGCAGTCTATGGTACTTTCTTATGGCAGACCTAGCAAACTCAAGAGACTAAAATCTTTCTAAACCAGAAATGAAATTCAGAAGCCGTAAAAGAAATGATTGATAAACTTGACTAAATACAATTTAAAATTTCTGCATAGAGATAAAAACAAATAACAACAATAAAAAGCACAGCAAAATTAAAAAGACAACAAGCTGGGAAAAAATATGACAACCAAAGGGTTAATTTCCTTAATTAAAAAAAAAGAGCCCAGGATTGCCAGATCTTTCTTTCCTTCTTTCTTTCTTTCTTCCAATAAAAGTTGGAAATCCAAAATTTTATGTGATATCTCCTGCTGGTTTCACATTGAATTAAATTTAAATTTTAAACACTGTACAGGCCAACAACGTATGGGGCTCCTGGTTTAGGATCTTCAGTCTAGACTACCACCACAGGGGGCCTTCCCTTCAAAGTGGGCTGTGAGGCCTTTTTTTTTTTTAAAGATTCGCACCTGAGCTAACAACTGTTGCCAACCTTCTTTCTTTTTTTCTTTTCTGCTTTTTCTCCCCAAATCCCCCCAGTACATAGTTGTATATTTTAGTTGTGGGTCCTTCTAGTTGTGGCGTGTGAGTCCTTTTAAAGATCTCATTGCCACTGAGAAATGCAGAACAAGGATTTCTTCTTAGTCATCAGAATCTCACACACATGCACACACACAGGCGTACCCAACTAATATTAACCTGCAAACACAGTACATTTTGGAGTTACATTATGGAAGAAAACCATTTCCCCATATGCAACACAATATTTACCGACCCTTCCGTGCCCAAATGGGAATAGCTTTACATTTTTGGTGCAGAGCTGTGACAGTCACTTTCTTTACCCGTCATCTTACATGGTAGTACAGAGGCCTACCCGTATGAAAAACAAGAGTCTTTACAGACTTTACAGAGCTGTTGGTTGATTGATGGCTACACTGAGAAGTAGCTTTAAAAGAAAATTCTCTGTACTTCAAGCCAAATCACATTGCCAGGCAGACATCTCCAGAAGGGAGAGAGGAAACGGGAGGATTTATGATCCACTTGCATAAGAACCTCCTCCTATGAGTGGGTGTGAGGTGAAGGTAGGGGTAGTACGCCTGTCTGTGGAAGACCAGGGAGCGAGGTGTGTGTGTAAAAACTTATAATTTAAAATTTGAACTGTGGTTAATCTTGGGTAGTACAATTTGGGATGATTTTGCTTTTCTTCTATTTAATTTTCTATATTTTCTAAATTTTCTACAGTGAGCTTTAATTGCTTATATAAACAGGAGAAAGAACAGTAAATGTTATAAAAGTCATTTTGTATGTTAATTTTATCTTCCTAACTAGACTATATAAACTCTCTGGGGGGGGGTTCCACATCTTTTTTTTTTATCCTTTACCATACCTGTAATTTAGGGCTCATTGTAGGCACTTAATAAACTCTCGCTGACAGTCATTAATTTGGAGTACTTTTCAGAGTGAGTCCTGATTAAAGTCACCCTGGAAGAAGTCTTGCCCGGGTCAAAATGACCCTTGTGGAACCAACTGGAAAGCAGAATCTGTGGTTGGCCATGCATTATCCTATACTGATTTCATAGGCACATCCTCATGCCCATGGGCGCCCAGCCTCGTAAGGCTGGGCTCCGGGACTCTGCACCAGGAGTCTGTTCTTTGGTATTATTTTAAACTTAGGATAGAGCTTACTCGTTTACAAGAGGGTTGCCCTTCACAGGTTTAATGAGTGTGAATATCATCCATCATCTTGAATGGAATTTTATCCAGGAAGCCTTCTTTGGTTTCCTCACCTAGAAGTAATCTTTCCTTCCTCTAAATTTCATTACACGTGATTTCTACCCTCACGTTATCCATCACTTTCTTTTTTTAATTATTTTATTTTATTTTATTTTTGAGGAAGATTAGCCCTGAGCTAACATCTGCTGCCAATCCTCCTCTGTTTGCTGAGGAAGACTGGCCCTGAGCTAACATCCGTGCCCATCTTCCTCTACTTTACATGTGGGATGCCTGCCACAGCATGGCTTGCCAAGCAGTGCCGTGTCTGCACCCGCGACCTGAACTAGCAAACCCTGGGCTGCCAAATCAGAACGTGCACACTTCACCACTGCGCCACTGGGTCGGCCCCTATCCATCACTTTCTAAATTTGTATTACTCACACATCTTATCTCCCTTCCTAGACTATGTGTTTCCTGAATCAGGATCCATTCTTCAGTCACTTTGCTTCTCCTAGTGTGAGAGAACAGCTGCCACTGATCAAGCAGTTATTTGTATGCCAAGTTATTTATTTCCACTTCACAAGTGGAAAAACTGAGGGCCAAAAAGATTAATATCTAGTATAGTAGATTAATCTCTAGTATCCAGTATGGTAGGTATCTAGTAGGTCATGCGGCTACTAAGTGATGAAGCCTGGATTCAAACTCAAGTAGTCTGACCTCAGAGTCTATGCTCTTTATTACTGGGCCCCATAATGCTTCCTGCACATTGTGGGCAGTAAAGACGCAGTAAATACTTATTAAATGAATTCATTCATCAGTTAGCTAATTAGTAAGACAACAAAATGTTGGTCAGCTGTTAGGAGACCCAGTTTCAGATACCTCCTCTGACCTATAGCATTAGAAAAGCCAAGGCTGTAAAGGATTTAGGAGTAAAATCAGGGGATATTCAGCGGTAAGATCTGCCTCCAGACCACTGTCAAACCAAGTTCTACCAATACTAACATTAGTAACATTAGAGTTAACCTAGGACACTGCTTCACAATCCTATGCAAACCCAGTGAGACTGATAGAACTTCTTAAAGAGGAGAGGTTACACATTTCGAATAACTAAATTACATATCTCTCTGAACGTTGGTGTTGTGTGCATTAGGGGAAAAAGGCAGATATACACCTTCTAGGGTTACTATAAGGTTTAATGAGATTATGTGAAGTACCCAGCACAGTACTTGGTACATAGTAGAAACTCTATGCATATAAGCACTACCCTCCACTCCACCTGCATTTCCCACTTCGCAGCTAAGCTGAAAGAAGGCGCAAAGCCAAAGGAGAGATGAATGGATGACAGCTGGCAATGAGAGATGTTAGTCAAATTCCACAGGATTAAGTAGTTGTGAATCAGAGGTGTCAAGGTCCACTCCCAAGATTCCAAATAGCAGCTCTTAGTCTTGCAAGAAAATTTAGCCAGGAGAAGGATAAGTGAGAGGCCTATCAGAAGACAGAGGAAGTCGTTATTCCTAGCAGAAGGGGAAATTAGTTCTTGGGATTCCCTCACTGTAATGACTGACTGTTTTGTCGGCCAGGATTGGATTAACCTAAGGGTATTCAGAGATCTATGTATCTCACTGGGTCATCTGTATTTTACTGAGGAATAGGAAGATTAACTGCAGGCACCAGACTGGTCGTCCCACTTAACGTAACCCTGGAAAGTTCCTCTCGCATTCCAGAAACTACTCAGCCTCTGTGAAGTTTGCCTATCTGTCTGGCAAAAGACAGTTCAGGTCGTGTTTTTCACAAGCAATAGAAAAAGCCAGTTTCAACAAAGCTAGGAGTTTGTCCTAAGAATCTGGAGTTACTTAAGAGATATTTCAACAACCTGTGTCTTCAGTAAGGCTCCCCGGAAACAGACGCCTAAACAGAGAGATGCATGCCGGGTGCTGTGGTTTTTTGTTTTGTTTTGGTGGGGGGTGCTCTAAGAAACAACACCTGTAGGGGGAGTAAGGGAAACAGACTTGGGCAGAGGAAGAAGTTGAACTTTGATGCCGTTGTATTCAGCTAAGCCTACAGGGTGCTGGATATCAGTGTAAAATGGTCTCCAGTAAAAGGAGCTGGGGGCCTTTGTATCCCTATGAGCAGTCATCTGATGCTGATTGCCCCAGGGAGGGGTGTAACCTTGTGTAAGGCAGCTCCCTTGCTGAGGGCCGTCCAGAGGGGCACTCAGCTGTGAATCACCCACGGCTAACGCTGCAGCTGCAGAATCAGGGTATCCACCAGAACCTGCTGCACAGCTGTGAGTCATATTTAAAGCTCAAAATCTAGGCGAAATTTTGAATTGTCATGATTTTCAGAGAGCAGTAAAGGAGCAAAAAATAAAGAGAATGTCATCTAGGAGTTAAGAGTCAGAAAGGGGAGGAGAAAGGGACATATCGTAATTAGCAACTTTCTGTAGTGCAGAGGGGCTGAACGAGGTTGGATGACCCTCAGCCATCTCTGTGGTTGGTGGAGAAATCTGTACATTTCTCCTTGACTATAGAAGTTAGGGAAGTAGAACAAATGGACTGCTACACCTGGAAACCTAAGCCAGCAGCCTGGAATTACAGGCATTGCACACAGTAGGTGCTCAATAAATGTCTTTTTAAGTGGAATTGCATTTCATTGGTTTGGGGTTGCTGATTGAGGGATCCTTTGGCTTTCTTTGCAGAAAGTGAGGGAAGTTTTCCTGTAGGATACACTCACAAATATGCCTACCTTGATTTAATCCTACAGGGGTCTAAACGTCTTATTCGTAAAATTTGTCAAGCCCTTGGAAGAAGAGGTAAGACAATGAGGGTTTATTAGACCTTGGCAAAAAACAAAACAAAACAAAAAAACAACCAAACAAATAACATCATCCACCCAGTGGTTCCCTCTGTGGCTTATACTCCCCCTTATATTCTCCATAGCATTTTCCTTGTGTGTATCACTTAACACCTGTCTTACATTAAAGGGCTTTCTGTTTTGTTTGCTTTTAGAGTTGGTGTCTGCTTTTCCATCAACTTGTAAATTCCTGGAGAGGAGGACCTCAAGACATTCTCCCTTGTTTTCTTCACAGCCAGGGATGATATTGAAGATAGTTAACACCCAGTGCAGCACAGGCACCAACCAACTCAAATGGACGCTGGTCTTAGGCAATTTGTATGGCTATACTAGTGGATACAGCTGAATATTTGTTCTGCACACGGAAGGCATCCAATAAAAGATCGTTGGATTGAATTTCATTGGTTTGGTCATCATGGCCTTGCCACCTTTGTTCCAGATAAATGGATCTGTATGAGAGAAGCAGCTCTGGCACATGCACACTTGCGGATGCCGTTCATCTGCTTTTCTCCTGGGACTACCAGGAAATAAATTAGCTATCAGATCAGAGCAAACCAAAATTTAAAAGATCATAAATGAAAAATGAATGTGTTGTTATTTGACTTTTTTGTATCGTTATTCATAGATTTTCTTAAAGTAATAATCAGAGAACATCATCAACTAAAATATGTTTATAACCCAAGTCAGTGACGAACTTGGTAAACACGGCAGAATTACGCCCTCTCTTAATTAGCCTTTGGGGAGACACCAAGTTTTGAACCACTGCTTGTAGCTCTGGGAATCTTCTAAGAAGCAGGAGTAGATTAACCTCTAGAAGAGAAATATGCCAAAAGCTGATTTTCACATATGACTTGGTGAGTCTTAAACAGAAACAGGCTAACATGCCAAATATGACCAGCTGAGAAGTATCAACATCAAAGGCAGAAATCATAAACTATTTGACACAAACATATTAAAAAGTTTTACATCAAGAAATTATAAAAAACAAAATTTAAGACAGGTGACAAATTTTAAAATATTGCTGCATATGTGACAGAGCTGATATCATTAATATATGAGAAATTCTTACAGATCAGTAAGAAAAAAATGCCTCAGTAGAAAAATGACCAAAGGATAAGCAAGTCACAAAACAAAAAATAAAAAAGGCTGATAAACATTTAGTGTCTAGAATAGTGCCTGTCACATAGTTGGCAATTAGTAAATATCCACTGTATGAATGAACGTCTGTGAAAAAATGTTTGACTTCAGGACTAACCAAAGAATCCCTAATTAAAATAACAGTGAAATATTATTTTCACCTGTCAGCTTTGCAACAATGACAAAAAATAATACCCAGTGTTGGTAATGGGGAGGGGAAATGTGCCACTGTTGATGGGAGGGTAAAGTGGTATTAAACTTTTCGGTGGGAAAGTCGACAATATGAAAAAAGCTTTGTCTAAAACCTTTGACACAGCAATTTCTAGGAAGTTATTCCAAGAAAATACTTACAAATGCCCAAACCTGTGTGTACAATGGTAAGGTAGACAATATGCATTTTTTGCTGTTGTCTGTTGGGGCAACCTGTGTAACGTGCCCTCCAGGCCTTAGTGGTGGTACACAGATGCAGGATACATCCAAGTCAGGCCATTCGTTCCAGAAAAGTAGCCAAGTTGGAGACGGGAAAGGAGTTCTTTCTTTATCTTCAGAATGCCGGCTGTCAGGGCAGGCTCTAGAGTTGGCGGTGGCCATGTCCTCCACTAGAATGTGGCCAACATAAAGAAGTAGAAATGAGATGGAAAGACAGAGGGAGAGAGAAAGAGAAAGACTTCTGGTGTAATTTGACTCAACAGATCCAGTCAATCCTGAGGCAAGTATACTTTCTTCTTTTCTGTGTTTGGATTATGTTAATTAATTCTTTTTTTTTTTTTGAGCTGACATCTGCTGCCAATCCTCCTCTTTTTGCTGAGGAAGACTGGCCCTGAGCTAACATTCATACCCATCTTCCTCTACTTTATATGTGGGACCCCTGCCACAGCGTGGCTTGATAAGCAGTGTGTAGGTCCATGCTGGGGATCTGATCAGGCAAATCCCAGGCCACCCAAGTGGAGCACACAATCTTAATCTCTATGCCTCTGGGCCAGCCCCTCATTCTACCTTTTTGCTAAACATAGCATGAGCTTGGACTTCTACCTCCTATCAAATGGAATAATAGGGACAATATTTACCCTCCCACCTGAAACAACTAAAAACCTAGACAAAATTTTTTTTTTTTTTTTAAAGATTTTATTTTTTCCTTTTCCTCCCCAAAGCCCCCCAGTACATAGTTGTGTATTCTTCGTTGTGGGTTCTTCTAGTTGTGGCATGTGGGACGCTGCCTCAGCGTGGTCTGATGAGCAGTGCCATGTCCGCGCCCAGGATTTGAACTAAGGAAACACTGGGCCGCCTGCAGCGGAGCGCGCGAACTTAACCACTCGGCCACCGGGCCAGCCCCATAGACAAAATATTTTTTAAAAATAACCATTTTGGGAGCTAGCCTGGTGGCATAGTGGTTAAGTTCTCGTACTCCACTTTGGCGGCCCAGGGTTCATGAGTTTGGATCCTGGGTGTGGACCTAGCACCACTTGTCGAGCCACACTGTGGTGGTGTCCCACATAAAACAGAGGAAGATTGGCAGAGATGTTAGCTCAGCAACAATCTTCCTCAGGCAAAAAGAAAAAGACTGGCAACAGATGTTAGCTCAGAGCCAATCTTCCTCACAAAAAAACAAAAAACAAACAAAGAAAAACTGTTTTCAAGGCCCTGGACATCAGGCCATGAAAAACAATGATCCCCAAGAGATGGGAAACAAATGAGGTAAGCCCTGTGATTGCTCAGTTTGCTGCCCTGAGAGAATTTCCGGATGGTGGCACAGAAAGGTGGAATTTAGGTAGAACCTGGCAGATTCCTTGAGGTGAGGAGATGGAGCTGAGAGTCCAGGGAGACCAAGACAGCTAGAGTTTGCAAGGTCGAATACCATAAAGGAGAGCCCTACACACAGAGAGAAAAACGACTGACAACAACAAGAGAAATTGAGAGACATTTAGAGGGTCCACCTCAAGTATTCAGCAAAATACTCACCAGCACATGAACGTGAGAAAACTGTTCAAGGCAAGGGAAGGAACCACCTGGAAGTATTGTGGGAGCGGTATGTGAGCAGAACTCACACAGGAACAGGATAGTGCCTGTCCCCACCAGCCGGACTGGAAATCTCATTCACAGGGCGTGAAATAAAGTACTTAGAAGGGTCCTGCCTCAGTTGTAGAACGAAATCGGCCCTAGACTACATGCTGCTCTGGATCTGCCTAAAAGATTCTTAAAGCAAGACTTGATCAAACTGTTTCCAAATAACTGTGGCCCAGAATAAACTCAAGAATATTTATGGGACTACAAAAATATCCAGCTCTCAACAAGGTAAATTCACAACGAAAGGCATTAATAAAAAATTACTGGCATACAAAGAAACAGGAAAATGTGACCCATAATGAGGAAGCAGTTAATCCAACTGAGGGGCCGGCCCCATGGCCCAGTGGTTAAGCTCCCAAGCTCTGCTTTGGCGGCCCGGGGTTTTGGCGGTTCGGATCCTGGGCATGGACATGGCACCGCTCATCAGGCCATGCTGAGGTGGCATCCCGCATGCCACAACTAGAAGGACCCACAACTAAAAATATACAACTATGTGCCGGGGTACTTTGAGGAGAAAGAAAAAAAAAGATTGGCAACAGATGTTAGCTCAGGTACCAATCTTTAAAAAAAAAATTAATCAAACTGACCCAGAACTGATGCAGATATTAGAATTAGCAGGCAAGGACATTAGAATAGTTATAACTCTTCCGTAGGTTCAAAAGGCTAGAGGAAAGATTGAATATGTTAAGTAGAGACATGGAAGATATTTTAAACTACCCAAATTGAACTTTTAGAAATGAAAATGTCCAAGATGATGACTATACTGGATGAGATTAGTGGCAGTTTATCCATAATATTTTCAGAGTTCAGCCATGTTGTAGCATATATTAGTACTCCATTCTTTTTTATGCTTGAATAATATTCCATTGTATGGATATACTACATTTCATTTATCCATTCATTAGTTAATGGACATTTGGGTTGTTCCTACTTTTTGGCTATTATGAATAATGTTGCTATGAACATTCATGTACAAGTTTTTGTGTGGACATATGTTTTATTTCTCTTGGGCATGTACCTTGGAGTGGAATTTTTCTAAGCTTCTTTATCCTCTTATCTCCAGTTATCAAACATAAATAACCTAATTCCAGCTGGAATGGCATAGTAACTCTGTGTAGAACCTTTGAGAAAGTGCCAGGTTGTTTTCCAAAGCAGCTCTACCCCTTTACATTCCTGCTAATGGTGAAGTCCAAAATATCTATTTTTTGCTGTACAGTTTGTGCATTTGGTCTCATACCTAAGAAAACTTTGCCTAACTAAAGCTCACAAAGATTCACTCCTACGTTTCTTCTAAGTGTTTCGTAGGTTTAGCTCTTAAATTTGGGTGCATGATTCAGTTTGAGTCAATTTTTGTGTATAGTATAAAGTGGGTATTCAATTTCCTTCTTTGGCCTGTGGCTATGCAGTTATCTCAGCACCATTTGTTGAAAAGACTATTCTTCCCCACTGAGTGGTCTTGGCATTCTTGTTGAAAGCCAACTGATCCTAAATGTGAGGGATTATTTCTGGGCTCTCAATTCTATTCCACCGATCCGTATGTTTATCTGTATGCCAATACCACTCCATCTTGATTATTGTTGTTTCGTAGTGTGCTTTTGAAATCAGGCAGTGTGAGTGCTTTAACTTTGCTCCTCTTCTTCAAGATTGTATTTGCTATTCCCTTGAAATTCCATACAAATTTTAGGATCAGCTTGTTGATTTTTGCACAGCAGCCAGCTGGGATTATGACAAGGATTGCGGCGAATGTGCAGTTTGACCGGAGAGGATTGCCATCATAACAATATGAAGGCTTCCAATCAACGAACATACGATGTCTTTCTGTTTACTTAGGTCTTCCTTAATTTCTTTCCACAACGCTTTGCAATTTTTAGAGCATAAGTTTTACACTTCTTTTGCTAAATTTATTCCTAATTATTATTATTATTTTTTAAAAGATTGGCACCTGAGCTAACAACTGTTGTCAATCTTTTTTTTTCCTGCTTTTTCTCCCCAAATAACCCCAGTACATAGTTTATATTTTTTAGTTGTGGGTCCTTCTAGTTGTGTTATCTTATTTTTGATGTTATTGTAAATGGAATTGTTTTCTGAATTTCATTTTGTGTTTTCATTGCTACTGTTCAGAACTACAGTTGATTTTTGTATATTGATTTTGTATCCTGTAAACTTGCTGAACTTGATACTAGTTCTAATAGTTTTTCAGTAGGTTCCTTAGGATTTTCTATATACAAGATCATGTCATCTGCAGATAGACATAGTTTCACTTCTTCCTTTTTAATCCATCCTTGTTTAATTGCCCTGGCTTGAACCTCCAGTACAATGTTGAACAGAACTGGCGAGAGCAGACATTTTTGTCTTGTTCTAGATCTTGGAAACATTCAGTCTCTCTCCATTAAGTATGATGGAAGCTGTGGGTTTGCCTTATGTTTATGTTTTTAAATTAAACATTTTGCTAAATTCATTCTAGTCTTTCACCAATATTTTACAGATAGTGTTGAAATTTACTAATCTCTCAATCACCTATTGAGTGTTCAGAATGAACAGAGCTAGTTTTTTGTTTGGTTTTGTTTTTGTCTTTGTTTTAGTGGCAGAAACAGGAAAGAGATTTCTTTCTTTTTCATATAAATGAACTCTGGGGTGGCCGGTCCATAACTGACCATGGATTGTCCACCATGGAAGTTCACACGTTATTTGTCTTTTTGCTCCAACATCTTAGTATGTGGTTTCCGTCTTCAAGGCTTGAAATAGCAGAACCTATACTTAACATATTATTGTGTGGATACAAAATCAAGTCATTTACGTGAAAAATAATTGATCCTGATAAAAATAATTTAATGAATTAAAAATAAATGTGGATAAACTGGAATTGGTATACAGAGGTATATTTAAAAAATTGATCAAGAGGGGCTGGCCCTGTGGCCGAGTGGTTAAGTTCGTGCACTCTGCTGCAGGCGGCCCAGTGTTTCGTTGGTTCGAATCCTGGGCGCGGACATGGCACTGCTCATCAAACCACGCTGAGGCAGCATCCCACATGCCACAACTAGAAGGACCCACAACGAAGAATATACAACTATGTACCGGGGGGCTTTGGGGAGAAAAAGGAAAAAAATAAAATCTTTAAAAAAAAAAAATTGATCAAGAAATTAAAATGTCTATTGCATTTTGCTCTGAAAAACACTTTCTCCACAAAAATTTAAGTGTTGGTATATTTCTTTTCTTTTTATTGAGGTCACATTGGTTTATAACATTATATAAATTTCAAGTGTACATCATTACATTTCTACTTCTGTATAGACTGTATTGTGTTCACTACCAAAAGTCCAGTTTCCACCCATTAGAGTACCCATGTGCCCCTTTACCCCTTTTGCTCTCCTCCAACCCCCTGTCCTTCTGGTAACTACCAATCTATTCTCTGTATCTATGAGTTTGTTTGTTTGCTTATCTTTCACATATGTGTGAAGTCATATGGTAATTGTCTTCCTCCAGCTGACTTATTTCACTTAGCATAATATCCTTGAGGTCCATCCAATTTGTTGCA